ATGCAGGTAAATTTGGAAGGCAAACCAAGAGACAAACACCCCCTGAAGAGGGGTGATTATCTGGCCAAAGCTCAAAACGTTGTATAACAGTCCACAGTAGCAAATCTTCTTTCTCCCCTAGCCTCACTGGAGTCCAGCTGGGTATCGTGCTTCTGGAGCTTGTTTTTCAAAGTCGGATGCCTTGTTTTTAGAAATATTCAGCTGGCACTTATGCTAGCTTTTATAATTGCTGTTGACTTCCCTGAGAGCAATACAACATGGCATTGCACCCAGAAAAAGCATGATATCCAAAACTTCTGGCTTCTTACTTCAAAACATAAATGCATATCACTATACAGATAAATATATATAAAGAGAGTTAGAAATATACATAAATAGGCTTTATGTACAACCTGTCAATATTAACATTTTAGGACTCTATTAAGTGCAAGTTAGATGGGTGTGTGTGCGGACAGTCACATGGGGCACTGCATCTGGCTGTAACTTTTATTAAAAAATAATTTTTATTTCTCTGTGGGCCTTGTACTTCTGTTTGGTTTACTTGGCAGTGCTATTCCTTTTCCTGTGGAATTTACTACTGCTAAAAACATACCATTTCTGATGTGTCTAAACTTGACTAAACACAGTTGGCTTATTACTGTGTAGGTCCTACGACCTTATGACCTTTTCCAGCCTGGACTCACCAAATACTAGAGCCTTTCCATCGCAACCACACTGCCTGCGAGCACTAAACTTCCAGAATCTGTATCCCTTTCCTGGGGTGTGCATCCCCTACAAATGATACATTGCAGCCAAGTGATAATGCTGACCCTCCAGACTGCCTGTAACATCAACCTTCTCCAGCATGGTGGAGATGGCTACAGCTTATCCCAGTGGGAACCTGGGGCAGATATGAGCAGGTACTCAGAGGGGGAAGTTTAATACAGAATTTCCAGCCAAGGCTATTGCTCGCATTCAGTACCATGAGAATCACTTCAAAACCCAGAATGGGATCTGTGGTGTGTGTGGACTTACAAGTACCATTCTTCCAATCCTGATGGACATATTGTGCCTGGGACATCCTTCGACTCCATTGCCTTTTTTGTGATCACATTTTGTGGTTCAATATCTCTTGCTCAACAGGTTATCTGGGTCTCTCCCCTTACAGCTTCAGGTGATGAATTCCCATTAAAGAAATGTTATTCTTGCACTTTAAAAAGTCTTATTTAAGACTACAGTCTACATGCAAAGTTATCCTCTTCTTCCCATGTGGCATTTTTAATCCTTTTTTTTTGGATACACCTTTCTCATTTTCTTTGCAAATTTTTGAACATGTTTCTACTTCTGTGCTTTGGCCCTTAATTAAAATATTAAAGACAGAATATTCAATAATCTGTGAGAAACTTTTCTGTTCATTTCTCTCCTGCTAGATAGTTTACCTGAAAGCATAACTGATCATAATTTCTCCTTTAATGGGCTTCTTACCTTAAAATGCTTCTATTATGTAATCTCTGAATCAAATTACTTCTTTTTCGTCCATGTTAATTGCATAAAAATGTTTTGAGTTCTGACAAATTGCTACATATTCTATTCTCCTTTCTTATGGCACTATGCATCTTGGTAATTTACCAAAACCTTTCACCTGGATTTGGATTTTTGTGTCGAGGTTATTGCATTTTTTCTTTATATATAGTAGTTTTCATTTCTGTGGCATCATCCTATTAGTTTCATCCTGTTTTGTCTACATTTTAAATCATCCTCCTGAGGGGGGGAAAAAAAAAAAAAAGTCAAAAATGACTTGGTTTTTAGGCCAGCCTATTGTTCATCTCATGACAGCGTGGTGTCCATGCCTCTTATTCCTGAAGAATTTTTCACTGCTGAGCTTTGCTTCATGAGGTTTAATTAATCCTGACCTGTCTCTCCCCCTTTATGTTCTGTCATCTGTTATTTTTCTTTGCTATTTCTTTACTTTTTAAGTCCTTATTGGAACAATTTTATTGTTTGTAGTGTAATTTCTGAACAGTTTTTTGACTTAAATTTCATTATTCTTCCACTTTGAAAATCTGTGTTGCTTAAAGTGATTTCCATAACAGGTGCCTTTAATATCTCAAAGTTTGATCTTATAACTTTTCCAAATTAAATAATCCTAGTATATATTGTCATATGAAAACCAAACTATCTTCTTGTCATATGAAAACCATTCTTTATCTTTGATCATTCTTGTTGCTTTCTTCCAGTTACATAATAAATTCCATTTATGATGGGAGAACCAGGACTGCATACAGTATTCAAGATGGAATCGCTTTTTTTCAGTGTTTAGTATTGTATAGTTTAGGAATTCTTTTTTACCCCTGCATGCATTTATTTGCACTTATTAAAACTGAACTATATCTGTTCTTCTATCATTCTCATAAGATCCTTCAGCATGTTCTTTGTAACCAGTTTCATTTTTTCAGTGCCTTGAATAACTGTGGCCTCAACAAACTCTTTGGAATGGATACAACAGATCCCTTCTTAGTATGCTGAACAGTTTTAATCTCAGAGTGACTACTGATAACTGCATTTATGCTGTGAAAATCGACCTTCTTTTTCCTGAACTTTCAATTAGTTACTAATTAATGAGGACATTTCGTTTCCTACAATAAGGTTGGTTTCTTTAAGATCCTTTGATAGCAAATTGTGTCAAATGTGTCCCGGAAATCTGGGTAAACCATATCAATGGGATTCCCTTAGTCCACATGATTCTGCTTGACTTCTTCAGAAATGCTGAAAAAGTTGAGGTGTAACCTCCAAAAGCTATACTAACTCTTCCTTGTTATGTCATATTTACCCATGTTAATTAACTCTGTTATTATTAAGGTTAATATAGTAAAAATTCAGTGAAAAACTCAATCTAAGTTATACATGGGTCCCCAGCTCCTCCTTCTAGAACCTTGTAAAAAAAAGTATTGTTTTTGTTACCCCCTTCCAGTTCAAAGGAGTTTTAGTAATATTTTTAGTCTCTATCTTGATAGTTCAACAATTACACATTTATATTCTTTTAGAACACTTAGTTGAGTGAATGAGATGTGAATTTTTCTGATTTGAAACCTATTCAAATAACCTTTATGAGGAAAAACATGATTTAGAGCTAGTTCCTCCACCTTCTTTCAAACAATTTGATTTACTAAAGACACAAATATCAGTAATATGTGACTACAAATTCAATAACATATTGTACCACTCTTCAGAATTACACAATATTGACAAGCACAAGGAAACCAACCTTGAGTTTGTATTGTGGGGTTGTCAGGTCTAATTAGAGATTGTAGACTGATTTGTCCTTGTGAAGTAATGATTAATATTTTCATGTATGACATCTATACAGTGGATATTTTAAGTAAAAAAAAAAAGTTTCAAATTCATATAAGTTATGCTCACACTTCAAAAATAAATAAAATTAATAATGATAAATAACTTCCAAACATTGTTACACAGTTTCTCTAAGTCAGAAGGAAGTAATAACAGATTTAGTTAATGCCCTTGCAGGCATCATGGAAGAGAAAAAAAAAATCCTTGTTGTTAGTCATTGCAGATGCTTTTGCAAACCTGGTAGTTTTAACAAATGTATTTACTATTCAATGAACATGTTATTAGCACCTGTGCAATGCTGCATTATACTCTGTCCTGACAAAGCTTGTTTGAAATCCTTGTTAGTTGTCTGTTATTATGTGGATGCATTCTTTTATTATCTTTCCTAACACTGCATATGAAAGGTTAGCAAGAAAGACAGTAATAGCAGGAGAAGGTACTACTGATACAAAGAAAAAAAAAAAAAAAACCTCAACCCCAAACAAGCCCAAACCTTCTATGTGCATTCTTGTTGTGTAGTAGCTGAAGTTAGTCCTGAGTAGCAAGCATGTAAGAAAAGGTACTAAAGCACTTTTTTCCATACTTACATGCACCTAGAGTTGCTGGGCTACATTTTTATCTGATGTAGTAAAATTGTCTCTTTACAGTGCATGTCTACAGTCTCAATAAAGAAATTTGAAGATTCATGTCAGCATTTGTTATTGTGTTACGAAGAATGATCTTACATGGTCATGGGAAGAGCTCTTCAAAACAAAATGGAGTTGAAAGAACAGTTTCGGAGCTTGGTTAGACAGTAACAGAAGATCTGCAGCATAACGTTATTCTACTGACTTTTATCTGTAAGTGTTAAGAATCTCTGTGAAAGTTCAAGTGGCTCTTCTCAGTGTATTCTAGGCATTTCCTCCTTCATAGGGAGAGCCTTCAGCAGCTGCAATACTGTTAATAGTTTAGCTGGGCAAAGTAGTTGAGTTGATATAACAGCTTGTTTCCTCCAAAAGTAGTAATCTTTTCTGGCCCTGGCACTCATCTGCCCCATCTCTGAGCCAATTCAGCTCACTCAAGTGGGCAGAAGACAAACCCCATGGGAAGAGGAGGGAGGAACTGAACCGATGAATTTGGCCATATCTAAATGCACAACAAGTTGTCTTCCCAGCAGCTGCTCTGCTAAAAACAATCTGAGGTCTTGCACAACAAACCCTGGTCTACTCATTGGTATCCCAGAAGATATTGCAGAAAGAAACCTCAGAAGTACTGAAATGTTTGAGACTGGGAGGCACTGGTAATGGCAAATTACTACTCCAAAATCTCATCGGGCTTTGCTAGCACGCAGAAAGAGCTGGACATGTTAAGAACTCAGTACTTAACAGCACAGCATGCAAGACTGTTAAAAGGTGGTTGCAATTCATTTATGAAAAGAGGTGCCCTGATGTCACAGAAGCCTAGAAGAAAGAAGATTAATATAAAATTAAATTATTTTATTGGTGGAAAGTAGTAATTTGATCCTTCTTTTTGGAAAACAAAGTTTCTGTGCTGGAAAGACCTCAGCTAAGAGCTTTAAATTCACAGAATTTTGCATCAGGAGCAAAACCTCAAGTTTTTCTTTGGTGTATATTTCACTGCCAGCAATGAAATAGGTTCCTGAGCCCCAGGCTATCCTGGCTGCCTTCCCTTCAGTCACCTTCATCATCACTGGGTTTCTCTTCTGAATCATCACTTTCATACTCCTCATCCTCATATCCGAAGGTACCCTGAGCTTCATGGTCAGACTGACCCTCCTCTTCACACTCATGGGACTGGTCAGACCGAGAGCTGGGTCTTGACCGATAATTGTCCTCCTCTTCCTCCTGGGAATGGCCAAGCGACGGACCTGCCTTTGCTAGCTCTTCCTCCTCCTCCTCTTCATGGTGCTGGTCAGAGCAGGGGCTGGATCCAGCCTCCCCTGCATGGCAAGGCTGATGAGCACGAGGGCTGGCTCTTGTCTCTTCCTCATCCTCTAGCTTGCTGAACTGGCCATCCCACATGGAGGCTTTGACACCTTTTATTTTATCTTCCTCCTCTTCTTCACAGGACTGATCAGACTGAGGACTGCTGCCAGCTGCTTCCTCAAAGGATACCCTTTCTTTCAGTTTATCCTTGATGACTCTGAAAAGACAATTTGCATATGTGATTTTATTTTCAGGTAAGGTGCTTTCCAGTAGGTTTTAAAGGAATGCTACCTTCAGGTAATCAAGGACAAATCCCCGTAGACTTGGCCAAGGTGGAACTGGTGAAGGAAAAGGGAAGGGGGGACACTAGTGTCTCTTTTTATGCTAGAAAGTAACTCAACAGTATTGCTTATATGTTTCAGTTTTTTCATTTCCACTTCCTTTTATATCATAACACCTAATGGATATTGAAAAGTATTTATATAAAGCTTATTTTAAAAATTAAGCAAAGGTAATGCAGAATGAAGTGATTTTTACTAGCATCCTGCAAGAACTTTTGGTGAAAGGAACACATAAAAAATGTTTTTCTTAATTTTTCTTTGACGTGCATTACATAACATATCCAGTGGTCTCCTCTGCTTTATGAAATAACATTTAAATCAGGAAAAAACAATTAAAAATACATACTAAAGCTAACTGCATAGTCAAATATTTACCTGGGAAATACTACAAATAATTAAAAAACCCCCCAAACCTCCACATCAAAAATTACTTTCTAATTACTGTGTAGACAGTGGCAACAAAAAAAAAAAAAGCCTTCAGTAATCTCTACCTTTCTCTGGCACCAGTGGAGTTATTAAAATCTTCAGCACTGAAGCACTGTAGCAATTTAGTTGTTTGTCCTTTCTTTGAAACAAACTCTGGGCATATCCCCAGCTCTCGCAGTCTGTTAGAAAAATGCTTTTCTGCAGCTATTCTGGCATTTTTCTGTAGGAAAACCACAATGGTTATGTGTTATCTAAATGCATGAAATGTCTGCCTTTTGATACTTATTAATACTGTTTCATTAATTGCATCTGACAAGTTGAATGATTATTCACTGCAGATAAGAATGTCAATACTTGAAAACTTTACACCAGATTTTCCTTTTCTGTACTAGTTAAAATCCCGTTTGCTCCCTGTACCCGCTGGCTAACAAAGAGCTATGTATTCTGTATATAGAGGGAGGAGGGGGAAGATGTGGATGTGTAGAAAATCAGATGTAGTCTTCCTAGGGCTTCTCCCTTATCCCCTCTCCTCCTCCTCTGTCTTCCCTCTCTGGAAGCTGCTGCCCTAAAAAGGTAGTATTGATTCACCTAGTTATGTATCTCTGCCTCTGAAACTGAAGGTGTAAATTGTGTTTTTACAGGTAATATCTGAGTGAGGAGGACTTGTCCTCCACTCTACACAGACGCTCCTGTCCTGCAGTGATGGCAGACCAGGAAACCCACACAGAGAGAAGGGACAAGGGAACCAGTGATCTATGACTTGCCTCATCTCTGGGTTTGGAAGCAGGCCAGGGACTACACTACCAGCACATGGGTATGCTGAAATGGGGAGATAAAAATATAGTACAGCGGAGCTTTACAGTAAACACTAAGAAGACTTGAATTTTCTTATAACTTCTTTCCCAAATTAAACCTCCTACATTTTTGCTGTAATTTTTTGTTGTGTTTAGAGTTACTCACATTGCAACTGAATTGGACAACACATTTACAACAGCCATCTCGGTTCCCTGTGCAAGCACGCCATGAAAGCTTAGTCACAAAAATTAGTAATATTTATATGGAGATGGGGCAACAGATTAAAATGGACAAATACTGGTCTCAAAAATATTGTTCAGATATCTTCTAAAAATGTTTGACTACAAATGTCTCCTGTAGTATTTGAAGATAAGAAGTAATACAGAAGCAAGACAACCTGAGTGACTCTTTCAAAAAGCAATGGCCTCTGTTTTACTCTTTCTTCTATTTCTTGCAGCTCTTGCAAATATTCTTGCATTCTCTGCTTCTCATAATTCCTAAGGGAAATAGAGTACAACATAAATTATTATTAATTTATAATACAATAATTAATTTTTTTACAGTGCCCAAATTGCTCATTACAAACTAAATATTGTCCTACTTAATAGATACATAAAAGGTAAATTATTTCATGGTGGGTACAGAGTCTGAGGTATATTGTCTCATTTTCACAGCAATTGCTTGACTGTAAGTACTTAACAAAACTGTCTCTGAAGTAGTCACTTTGGATAAGCAGAGAGAGGTCCTGGCTAGTAAGGTTACGTAGAGGCTGAGTTTGGATTCGTACTTTTTTTTGATACTTCAGGGTTTTTTTTAAAATTTGGATACTTAAGTTTTTTTAAAATGCTGATTTTATACAGATGTTCCAGTTGTTCTAAGCTATACACCATAGGAAATTAGTATAATTAAATAAAAATCAGTACTTTAAAATCTGATTATAAGAATCTTGTTACTTTACCACAAGAGGAGTGGCCACATTTTGGACCACAGTACACTTCTTTTCCTAGTTGGTTTATCAAGGGGCAAGGAATTATGACACTGTTGATTCATCAACTGAAATTATATCCCAGGTCATAGCAAGCACTAGATAATCCAGGTAGCATGGGCTGTAATCCTCGGTGTGTGACAAAGATACCTCTGTGTGACGTTGCCTCTGTACTGGGCCAGCTCTAGGATTACTAAATCACACACTTAAAGACAAGTATAAGAGCTGGGGGGGTATTTTACACTTCTGTCTCCTCCTGCCTCTTTGCCTTACCATCCTCTGAACTTCTGCAATATGGCTGTGCGTTAAGGCAAGCTATTAACCATTTTGACGGGGTGAACTTCATTGTTGCTACTTGCTTGCTCTCTCAGGCAGCTTTCTACAAACGTAATTATCTGTTAGAAGAGCACTTACATTAATATATCCTATTACCTAGCCTATGCTGAAATATGCATTATCAAGTTAAGCACTTGTACCAGCCTTAATGCATCAGCACTAGGGACGTAATCTTGCTTAGTAATAGCATAATTTTACACGCAGACAAGAATTAAGCATGAGTGTTGTACAATACTCCTGAAATCCGTTTAAGCTAAATATTGTAATGTGAAGTTCACTGCTGAATGGACTCAAATCAAATCTGCAAACACACCCACTGTCTCTCTTCATTCTCCACCTTGCTACAGTAACTCATATTGTTTTCTGCTTCTGTCCTAGAATCAGCAGAGTCAACAAATCTGTGAACTGTGAAATGTTCGCTACTTTAGGAGACAGCTAGCACCAGAGTAGTATCAACACCTATCAATCCAGCAGTGCAAGGATATTCTGTACACGGTACACTGTTCCTCTTCCTTTTGATTTTTTTAAACTTTTCCTCTTTAGTTGATATGTAAAACCACAGGAGTCTCCTGTTAGCTAATCTATAATACTATAATGTGGAATGTACAGGACAAAATCATTTAGAGCAGGCAACATTTTCCCAGATGAAACACTAAATCTGGCCACTTTTTTACTAGCTACTTATACAGTGTTATAATTTATCAACTGTATAATTATGTAAACCTAGACTATGCTATTTTTTACATTGTATGTTTAACATACAATGTAGAATGAGAGGTTCAGGATTCAGGGGAATGTAACAGAATACCTGAATGTTTTTAATTTGGATTTAGACATTTGAGCTAGGCTCTGATGTGGGTCATTGGCCTCAGCCCGAGCTGTTACAATTTTCTGGAGTTTTTCTGTTCTTTGTTTCTGCTTTGTTCTGTTCCTTTTTTGTTGTTCTTCCAGCTTTCTCTTTTCCTCAAGTGAATTCCTGGGTAGAAAAATAAACTAAGGCTGAATTCATTTTAAATCAAGAGCAAGACTTCAAAGGAAGCTTTGGCAAAGGAAATTCAAAAGAGAAAAACAGGGTGAAAACAGGGTTGGCATAAGAGGACACCAGGTATATGCCATTCTAAGGGATTCAGGCATATCCTGGGAAACAGCAGTCATCTGTCCCTTTCCTATGGACATTCTGAGAAAAATGCACTATGTTTCTTTAAAAAGCACAAACACTAAGTACTATATTTAAATATTTTAAGCTTTCAGTTATGTCCTTATATTACTCCAAGTCCTATACTCACTGCATGGAAGAACTGACTACATATGTAGAAAAAAAAAAAAATCTACTCTTAAAGTATATATAAAATGTAAAGCATCACTAAAGTAGTCACCTTATGGCTTGTAGCCGTCGTCTTGTGGATTCTGTAATTTTTGGTGATTTATATTCTCCAAATCCTGAGAGATGTGAATTTGCACTTGAATGTCTCATTTGAGGCTTACGTCTTGGAGAGGCATATGGCCAGCGTGTTTCTTTCAACTTTTCTTCATCCTCTTGAATGTCCTTCAAAATCTTTCCCTTGTTTGAGGGGATATATGGAGTACAAAGATCAAAAGGTTCACAGACTGTGAGGTGTTTCTCTTGTTTTTGTTGCAGCAGTCGTTTCTGAAATTTCTGGTGTAGTAGTTCAAAATCTGGAATGCTTGATTTAATCTTGGGTTTATGTTCTGCTTCCTTTGGTTCAATGCACTTGTGCTTCTTCTTTTTATTAGTATCTTTTAAAGCCAGTCTGCTGTTGGGCAGAGATGAATTCCGCAGCAACTCTTCAGCTCTCATTCTGATCCTGGTTTCTCTGTAGAGCTCTTCCTCCTTTAGCTTGTCATCAACAGCTGGACTATAAACACATTTAGGAACTGGTTTTGCTTTGAACAGTTTTGTTTTCTTTTCAGGTGCAGAAAGGTCTCTTAATTGCATTTTCCTCATTTCCTTCCTTTGCTTCTCTCGTTCAATGAATTTAAATGGTTTCTGAGAAGCCAAAAGCTTGAGTTTGCTTCTCTCTTTCACGGACCTCCTGCGTTCTTCATTTTGTTGCACGATTTCACTGTATAGTGGAAGGAAAACAGCAGCAGGCACTGGATTGGCTCGGAATTTTTTCTGACACTCTGCTTCTTCCTCTAGTTGCTTCTTCAATAAGTTATTTTCCATTTCTATCAGTGACTTTGATTTGACATTCTGTTCTTTTTTCCTAGCTTCTCTAATAGTCATCTGGAAAGGCTTGGGCACAGTAACTTTTGGTGACCATGCTTTCTGTTTCTTCCATATCCTCCTGAAGGCTGGTGAGCTTGGTAAGATGCGTTTGGTGTGGGAGATGTAGTCTTCCACAGAGAACCCGTCCCACATTTTTTCAATCTGTTGCTTAGCAAATGCAGATGAGGCAGTTTCGCTACCATTTTCTTCAAATGCTAAGTCTCTGTCAGACCCATCAGATATACTTGAGCCTAAGGGATCACTTAAGTCAGAGTCTGAAAAGGATTTGTGCAAATTTAGAGGCTGATACAAGTTCTTCTCCCAAGTTGGCCTTTAAAAAAAGGGAAAAAAAGTTCGTTTGAGTCTAGTCCAACATTGATGCAAAGCCACTAACTTCCACTGTAAGCCACTGTCATTAGAAAAAAACGATGAAGAGCGTGGTGGGAAAGAAAAGAGGGGGAAGAAAAGGAAAAAGGGAAGCACAGTGGGCACTCACACCACGTCATAATTTTAACGAAGTACTGATCACGAACAAGTCAGCACTTCTTAAGGAAAGGCACCGTGCTTTACTAAACATATTGCCCCGTCTCTGCTGCACAGACACCTGTAAATCTCACAGTCCATTATCAAGGTGAAAAGTTTATTAAAACTAACTTTTCTGTGGTTATGTGCTTATAGGAAATAGAGAGAGTAACACTATCCAGCCCCAGAAGAAAACCCTGCTGTTTTACAGATGTCTGCAAATCATTTGAGAATCTTCAGATAAAAGATATCACCAAACTTACCTACAACACGTATTAGAAGCAGCATTTTTCTTGTCCAAGGGTTGTACTCCTTTCAAATATAGTTTATTTCGATACATACTTTCTAATTTTGCCATGGTCTCCAAGTGGGCATTCTTCAGCTCTTCTAGCTTCAGGTAATACTCTTGATTCGAATTGCACATTTTGGAAAAGTCTATCCCCGCGTCAGAGTCTCCATTTAGAGAGAGGGTCTGCTCTCTGCTGGTATTTGAATCCAAATCAAAACCATCCTAGAAGAGATGTTTAAAATGTTCCAACTGCTAGAAGAAAGGGGAACAAAGTTCTAACAGTGCTTTATCCTAATTACGTCTAACGAGTGATACAGTAACAGCAAATAGAGATACCTGTATACAAATGTTAATGCAGAGTTACATGGAATAATCTTTTTGCACAATAATTTATATTCTAAGGGGGGGGAAAAAGTTTTAAATTTCCTAAGCCTGTCCCTGTAATCAATATATTTATACCAGAAAATATGATCAAAGGGACTTATCAAAAGAAAAAAGTTTTAACTATTTTGTAAAGTTTAATTTTTCCTTTATTACTTGCAGCTCTAAAAAAGCCTTTATTTAAAAACAAATAAAAACACAACAGAGCCTTCCCTGCCTCCCATTTCCATAAGCATTCTAAAAACAAGTCATTAGAGATCTTGTGTGTAAATGTTTATTCCCATTTCCATAACTCACTGTGAAATGACAGGGATTCTGCACAGGTTATAGTTCCAATACTGTTTGGAAGCTTGCAGCTTGTGCAGGTAAGCACATTATTTAAGTATTTTTAAAGCTTACACACGTTAGAGAATTTACTAAAACCAGGTTAGTCTGCATTACAAAGGCTTCCTTTATGTTATTTTAAAGCACCATGTTTTAAAAAAAATACAGGATTAGTTTCTTTATCCAAAAATTAGAATAATACTTTTCCACACAGAGGTATTTTAATAAAATTTGATGTTCCAACAAAAAGTCTTATGTTTTGTCAGGTTTTCACTGCAAAAATCTAACTCACTTTTTCCATGGCACAGTGACCTAATACAGTATGAATGACAAGATCAAAGGAGTGAATTTAAAAAGCCGTTACAGAACGCCCAGCGAAAGGCACCATCCACCTCTCTCTGAAGCTGCTGCTTGGGCCGTGGTGTATACACCTCCCGTTCCAGTTCTGACCAGCAGAACCACCCCCGCCCCTTCCCTGGACTTGGGCATCACCAGTTCTTAAATCCGCTCGTCAAACCCCGGCGCGTAACAAGCTCATTACGAGATGGGTGTTGCGCTGGCGCTGCGGCAGGCCATCTGTCAGGGTTTTTTTGTCTGTAGGTCCCTGCCCAGCCGTGCAGGAGGCTGCCCTGGCTCCCCGCGCAGGAGAGCGGAGGGCCGGGTCTGCGGAGCCGGCAGAGCCCCGTTAACATGAGCCCCTCACCCCGCCTCAGGCCTCC